GTTTCTTTTTCTTTATGTGAGTTAATATGATTTGATGTATTTAAAAAATGCCAAAGAGGATTAAAATTAAGAAAATATAACTATTATTAAACTGGACAGCCTAAATTTTTTAAAATTTTACACTTTTTTTATTCCCTTTACTTTTCATGGCAATGACTTGTAAACAATAAAGGAGAGAGGAAAGAAGCTTTCAATGGAGGAATATTAACTTAAATGTATAAGGTTCTAAGAAAAAGGGATCCAGACAGACTTTATTTGACAAAGATTTGAAAGTGGAGGTAATAATTTTCTAATCTCTATTAATGATATTTTTTACAAGTATTAATCCATTTTATCCACTTCTTGCTCTTGTGATATTGCTCGATCCTAAACAATGAGCTAAACAGCCATCACACACACATTACATTTACTAGGACAGGACTTCATTTTAAGCACCTCCTCCACCCCACACATATACAAACTGACATGTTTGGTTCGGAGATGGTGATACAAAAATGGTGGATAACTGCTGTTGGTGAAAAAGACATTAGTTGGCTGTTATTTTTCCCTTGATAAAATTACAAAAGAAAATGAGGTAAGTTCTTTGATTTGATTTGGATTTAATTTTTTAGGATGTCTAACATAGGAAGAGTTCATTATCTGTAAAATTTTGGAAGGTTTATTTTAAAAGTAGATTTAAGGATTTACAACAAAGACACAAAACTCAAACTTTCAATGATAAACATGATAACACATTGTTTAAATGAATAATATGCAGCTGATATCTTGCTGATCATAATTTTTATGAAAAACAAAGTTTTAAATCATAGGAATAATACAACTATAATGAATTAATATCTCAGCATAAAAATCTGACTTTACTTATGAGGGAAAAACTGAGGTAGCCATTATGCATGAATTCTGTAGTGTTCAACTATTTATACAAAGTATATAATTCACGCAAATGTACATGTATCCATAATATGTTCATAAGATGAAGGTTGATAACTTGCTTCATAAGCATTTATACTTATCCCTATATAAATGAGTAGAAGTGACAAAAGAATATTAATTTTGTTTTTGTAAATATGTGTAAAATACAACTAAATAGTATTAGATAACACATACAGTCATTCTTAATAGAACGATCTGACAGTATTTTCAATGATATATATACGGCTTAGTTATTTGCAATATACAGTAGTTGCAAGAACGGAATTTATGGCAAACATTTTTAAAACTCTGACATACTGATAAACATTGGAACCTTTACTGACATAAAAAATTAGAATCAGTATGTGTGCATGTGTTTATATATATAAAGAATTAATTAATGTTTTAATTTGATATTTTTATTACTTTAAATGTTATTATAATGGATACTCTGTATTTGAAATAAATGCTCCATTTTTATTTATTAAAGTTATTAGAATACTGGCATATTCTTTACTAAGATTTTTCGATAACACACTATATAATAAATTAAAATGAGGCATCTATTTCAAATATGGAGTGTCCACTATAATAATGTTTGAAGTTATATATATATATATATATATATATATATATATATATATATATATACACACATACATATGAGACAGAGAGAAAGAACTTATCCTTAATAATTTACTAACAATGAAAGTGATGTTTTATTAAAAAAACAAAAAAGGAAATTATAGCAAGGTTTTCTAAAGCAGTAAAATAATTCAAAATGAATGTTTATTTTAAATATCAGACTATATTTTATAATAATTCAACATTATTCGGAACCTAATTTCAATAGTGGAATTGTCCAACTCTTGTTTTATTATTCATAAATAGGATTTTCTTAAATTAGATTTTTTTGTTGTGGTTGGTACAAACTAATCTTTAAATTTTTTAGAATTTCTCTCTGCTTTTATATACAGTGCAATAATGTCTTTATTATTTAAAATTTTATTTTAATTTCATCAGTTGATAAGAAAAGAAACATGATGCCTGAGAGGGTTTACTGTAATGTAGATTACAAAATATGAAAATATTGAAAATGTTGCTGAAGCAAATCAGCCACACATGAACATATAAGGGAAGTAACTCAGCAATTTCTTAATGTGATAAAAATATTTTCAAGCAGTACAGAATTATGTAGCATTTTTCAATTGTCTCAACTGGGTTTAAAATATTTAAAAAGGATAAAAACTAAAAACTCAAATGGTTACACGCACAACCTATCATTTAAAAATTTTTTCCCATAGTCTTTGAAGGACAAATTATTTATATCATAAATAATATAAGTGATTAATAATCTATATACATATATATGTTGTGAGAGATTAAAAATTATTTTTAACTGATATTTCATTTCAGAAGCTTTTTGTTGTTGAACAGTTTTCTTTACTCTGTAGTATTTTTCATAGTTTGATTTTGAAATATATAGTTCTTAGCTTGACATTTTATAATCCATCTCAAAATTAAACTACTGTGGAAGAAAAAGTAATGACTAATTTGATTTTTGTTTCTCAGCATGCTATAAAAATATTTAAAATGTTTTTATGAGTTCAGAAAATATCTGAGTATTAAAATGATTAAAGTACAAAGTGCCATAAAAACTGGCTTATTATCAACAAAATTTAAATATGTTTTCTTCATTACTGTGTTTGAATGAATAATATAAAATAGAAATTGATTAGTTCTTTTCTTTGCAATTATATTCCCACAGTTCTTCCTTGAATATGCTGAAGTCAGTGTACATTCTACTACATATCTTCCATGCCTGTTTGTGTGCAGATCTCATCTACAGTGTGGAAGAAGAAAAGAGTCCAGGTACATACATTGGCAATATTGCCATAGACTCAAATGTGATGAATACTATTCCACTGAAAGACCATAAACACATTACATTTACACAACTCCAAAAGGGGAACTCTCAGTTATTCCGTGTTGCAAAGAATACAGGAAAACTATATACTGCACAGATATTGGATGCTGAGTCTTTATGTACATATAACAGAGAATGTTTTCAAAGGATTGATATTGCTGTAAGGAAAGCCAAGTCCTTTTTTAAGTTGTTAGAAATCAAAATAATAATAACTGATATAAATGATCATCAACCTAAGTTTGCTGATAAAAAAATCAGTTTACAGTTTTCAGAAGATGATGGAAAGGGAGTCAGAAGATTACTCCAAAATGCTGTTGATATGGACGTTAGCAATATTTATTCACAAATTTCATATGAACTAATAAAAGAGGAAGAAGAACCTTTTACATTGTCTGTGTCTAAAACTCTTGTTGGAAAATCAGACCTCAGCATTGTATTAGAAGAAAGATTAGACAGAGAAAGTAAAGATTTTTATTTGATTCAAGTAAGTGCAAAGGATGGGGGTTCCCCTCCAAAAGAGGACATTTTAAATGTTCATATCTCTGTAATGGATGTCAATGACAATCCACCAATATTTTCTCAAAATCATTATAATGTTTCAATAAAAAATGAACATGATAAACACATACCTGTAATTATTTTATCTGCTACAGATTCAGACTCAGAACAAAATGGAAATGTTTCCTATTATTTTGATTCAAAAACAACAGATTTTGCTAAAAATAGTTTTGCACTAAATGAAATAACAGGAGAAATTATTCTTCTCAAAAAAATACCACCTGGACAAAATTTAATCCATAATTTATACATTGAAGCAAAAGATGGAGGAAATCCTTCTTTAAGTTCTTTTGCTATGGTTCAAGTAAACGTGATCAATCAACAAAATAATGCTCCAACAATTGATGTGAACTTTTTCTCAGCATCATCTACAGAAAATTCTACAGCCATTTCTGAAGACATTGAGGTGGGCAGTTTTATTGCCTATGTGAAAGTAACTGATCATGATACTGGCCAGAATGGAGAGGTTATATGTGATCTCCATCATGATAAGTTTAAATTGAAAAGTCAAGGCTTGAAAAAATATCAAGTGATTTTGAAAGATCCATTGGATAGAGACTGAGGAACATCATGATATCACAATCAGTTGTGAGGATATGGGATTCCCACCAAGACATAGTGAGAGTAAGTTTTCCATTAAAGTGATGGATGTCAATGATGTAAAGCCAAAATTTGCTAAATCCAGATATAAATTCCATATCAATGAGAACCAGAAACCTCATATTGATGTGGGTTCAATCAATGCATCTGATCCAGACTTGGGACCTGGAGGGAACTGATCTTTTCTCTTGCAACAAATAAGAAGAAAAAATCATCTGCCTTTTCTAATCACCAAAAGATGGTTTTATTTCAACAAGTGAATCATTGGACCATGAATTACAAGATATTTATAAATTTGAGGTTTTGGTGAAAGATAATGGAATCCCATCACTGAATAATACAGTGGATGTGATTGTGGAGATTGAAGATGAAAATGATAACAGTCCATATTTTACATTTCCCAGTGTTAATCCATATAATATAGAAGTTGTATATTTTGCTGATGAAAGCAAGAACCTGACAGTTGTGAGGGCACATGATAGTGATTGTCAAGAGAATGCCTTTCTCAGATATGAAATAAGTGCAGGCAATGAGAAACAGTTGTTCACCATTGACCATTACAGTGGTTTGTTGTCTTCTACTGGTGCCCTTACAAAACAAGATGCTGGCTCATATGAACTGGAGTTTGTTGTCAAGGATAGTGGCATCCCAGTTTTATCAACCACAACTACAATCTTTTTGAGTCTGATTGTGAAAAATAAGACTTCTTCTTTGGAAAAGAGTAAATGGTGTACAGAGAAGTCAATCAGAGGAGAAGGTGCATCTTAATATGGTGATTATTATTACATTAGCAGCCGTCATGGTGACTATCATCATTACGGCTTCAATCTCAATCTGTGTGCTTCGCTGTTGTAATGCTTCAAGTGGAGATGGAGATGATGTTCCTAATAGATATGTTAGTGAACAAAGACATTTGATGTCATCTTCTTATCGAGGGAGCTCTTGGCCAGATGTTCCTACTACTATGATACATGATCCCAACTTTGGTAGGAGTGCTGAGGAGATGGCAGCTAGCAGAAGGGAATCCTATCCCAGGTTCATGAACCAATCAACAGCAATAAGACCAAACTCAGCAGTTGATATCACCTGTCAGGTATGTCTTCCAATTATATTTACTATATGCACTCTTTACTAATTCAAATCTTTAACTTTTATTACAAAATGTACATTAATATTCATTTAATATTGTTCAGAATGCTATATACTTAATTTAATAAAGACTCATATTTATTTAAGCTGCTTGTGATTGATGTATGAGAATAAAATTACAGATTATGAATATAAATTACTCACTAAAAATATGTTTAATTGCTTTATTTAGATAATGGTATACATTAAGTTCAATGCATCATGAAATAGAATTCTGCGGCATATTTTTGCTAGATTATATTTTTCTCAAAGAAAGAATAAAAAAGAAATGTATTCATTTTAATAATGCTACCATTAAAACAAAATAATAAAAGAATGTTCACACAATTCTGAAAACAAAATGAATTCATCTCGCAAGCTGTTATTAATTTCTTAACATTTTATCTTCTTGCAAAAGTTACTTAAATGTTTTTCTCCCTTGTTCTTTTCTTTTTCATTATTAAAATATTTAAATTTCATTGAATATAAGTTGAGTATATTGACATGAAATTTTAGTGTCAGTTTTGATATGAAGCTAAAAATTATTTTATATTACAATGTAGATGACACCAGATCTTCAGAATGGCAATAAAAACACATTAACAGCTCCTTATTGTCCAACATGGAGATCTACAATGTCTTCTCATGCTGACAGTGGACATGGTTGGAGTGAAGGAGACACAGGACATGCAGAAGAGATGACAGGTAAGAAGCTGAAAAAAAAAACTTGTTACAAAATCAGATATTCTATTTTTGTTTACAATGTAGGCACAACGACACATTAAAATATTATAAAGAAATGTTGATTTATTCTTTCAGATCAGCTAATTCCACAATTCTGCAAGCCACATGGTGGACAGGTCAACAAAATGGATAAGAGACACATAGAAGGAAACTTTAGCTACCCAAATGAATCAACAACAATTTCAGCAAGATGTTTTTCAAAAGCAACAAATAATCCCAACAATCTATTTAGAATGGAAACAGAACAAAAATCTCATCATTTATCAGATAGCATTCAAATTACTCACAATGCCAGACCACTGCCTCCAGTACCTCACAAATTACACTGATCATACACATTACATCAATGAATTACTTATATATATATATATTCAGAACCTGTTTACTAATTTTTGAAGATGAATTATTATATAAGTAGCATTAAAACAAAACAAGAAAAAACTGTTAAAAATGAACTGCTTGTATCTTGGAATATTTTAAAGTAACATTTGCTGTAATGCAAAAGAAAATTCTAGGGAAAGAATTTATGAGTCTTATATCAGTAGAGTGATAATAATTGCTTAGCATTTTCTATATTTTACCATTTTAAATAAGGAAACAAATATCATTCAGATTGTAAGTATAAAATAATAAACTACAAATTTAAAATTTTTCAAACTGTTTATCACTGTTGAGTGAAATTCATACTGAAATTATAAAATTAAATGTGCTTGGTATATTGCAAAAATTTCATAATTTTACAAGAATTAAATATTAACATAAATAAAAAGAATAATTGAAAATATTTGTTTCCATGATGATATATACTTTTAACATTCAGAGAAGTTACGAAAATGTTTTTAGTGAATTAATGAAGATTACTTTCTAAATATGAAATATAAGCAAGTGAAATAATAAACACAATATTCAAAAATGTGAGAAGAAAACATCAATGCATTTAAATTAAAAAAAAATCATATCTCAACAAAATTAAATTATAAAATCTAGAAAATTGTTATAGTTATGTTATTTTCAGTTTTGTATAAAGAAAAAATATTTATAGGTTCATGGAAGAAAGGAAAAAAGAAGTTTTAAAATGGAGGAATAGGGTCCTTTACATATTGCATGATGGGAAAATTAGCCAATTAAGGCATTTATTTTGCCAGATCTCAGGATATAATTTTATCTTGATATAAAATCATAACCATTACAATTTGAAACAAAAATGCAGAATTGCATTTAATTAATGTATTTTCTTTTAATTTTCTCGTTGGTATGAGAAGCAGCCATTACACACACATCATACTTATTAGGAGAATAGGCAGTACACACACATACACACTCATATGCACATAACAAGAGACTCTTTGTTTTGTGATACAAAAATCAGTGGAGAAAGAGGATGTAAATGGGCTGTGATTCTTTTATTTGGAAAGATTACAAAAAATAAGGTGAGTTGATATTTTAATTTAATTTTTATGAAGGATTTTTAGGGTCTAGAAATAAAGTGAAACCTTTGGAAGTGATTTCTTTCACAACTTCAAAGAGACTTTAAGGAGATGAAGAAAAATAATCAAAATAAAAATCTTTGCTGATGGAATTTATTTTACAGAATTTGATGGAATTCTATTTTACATAAAAACATTACGTCTGTTTATACAGAAAAAAGTATTTCTAATATGTGTTGGTAGAATAAATATTGTGATTAAAATATATATGCATTGAACAAATTTAGTAGCCATTATGAAATTCCATCAATATTAAAATATATGGCATAAATGTATATGTTAAAATTTTTTGTATTTCCATATAATCTTGTAGATATGACTTTGGAATAAATTTGATTATCTGTATCTTAATTAAGCATCTATAAAATGCATGTTCAAACGGTTATTGACGTGTGTTGAGTATGGAATATTGTTATACTTACTCATATTTTCATTAAATGTACAAGCTGAACAAATTTAGGATTTTTTCTGTTAAATATATTTTAATATTCTAATAATTATTCATTTTTAATATAATTTGTTTCAAATGATATAAGTCCCAACTAGGAAACTGTATAATAGCAATGAAAAAGTAAATTAACAGAGAATCAACTGATATAACTTATTATTATTTTTTAATGTATTTTCATAAAGCTAATCATGAAAGCAATTTATAAGCTCCTCAGATATAAAAATTAATTAAAAAGAAGTTTTTCTTTCATATTTACAATTCAGTCTATTACTATACTTCTGATATTTTCCTGAAAATATAGCCAAAATGTAGACATTTTGTACATTTTTAAGTTTTGTTTTACATGATTAAAAATTAAGCCTATCTTCAAAAAATGAAATAATCACACAATGTCAGATTTTATTAATATAAGTAATATACTATATGGATTTTGGCTTTTAATATCTGTCATTATTAAAAATATTGATAATAACTTACTGTTTTGGTGGTAGAGTCTCATGATTTATAATGCCAACAAATTGTTATTTATAAACAAAATCTGAAAGAAATATGTCACAGAAAGATATACCTGACTAAAACAATAATCTATACACCTGAATAACTTATTCTATTAGTTTGCATTTTATTATTTTATAGCCTACATCAGCCTTCAGTTCAAGGATTTGATAATTTTTTTCCTATTTTAACTTTAACATTACTTGCAGAAAATTTTCTCTTTTGAAACTATTTATTTCTTATAAACCACAGCAATCTTAACATATCTGAAGTTCAGAAATAAATATCAACAACTATATGATGATATATATTTACAATATGATCCACCAAGTTGAAAAATTAAACCTCATACTACAAAAGAAGAAAATATTTTTAATAAGTATATATTATAAGCTGAAATTCACATGGTAAAGGTTTTCAGGATATATTCATATGATAAATATTCCTACATCGGTTGGTTAATTTCACAATTTCAGTGTGGAAACACTTTCTTGCATAATAAAATCTGACATCATGTAACATAGAGAACTCATCTGAAACCAAGTTAGAAATTTATGTAAGGGAAGTAACTTTGTATAAATAGATTTTTATTAATGTTACTCATTTACTTAATCTGCAAAACAAAACACAAATTGGAAAAAAAAATAGTATTGAACACCTTAGATTTGGTAGAAAATTTTGTCATACACATTAAAGCCATTGAAGTATCATGAGGGAAACTTCTATTGGCCACAATTAATAGGTTAATATAAGATATTAATATCTCTCTTTTGCATTAAAAATAGGAAAAAGTAAATGTAGATTTAATTATATATATATATATATATATATATATATATATATATATATATATATATATGATAAACTAACCATATATTATTAAAGAAAATATTGGAAAAATAAAAAATGCTCTGCTAAATAGATAAATATTACTTCCTGATCATGGAATTTATCATGATGAAAAGGATTCCTTTTATAGGTGGTTAGATGAACATCACAACAACCGTATATATTTGTGTATAAGGTGACTTTATCTATAGTGTGCACCCTAAATTTTTTGGCATGAGTTTTAACTGCTCCTGAAAAAGTTTACTGGTTTCTTGTGGAACTGGTCACCAAAAATGGATGATTCCTAACCTCTTCAAAACAATTATCTGTGTATAGTGCAAAAATATTCAGTCATCATGTTTGCATTTAATAACAAATTGGAAATCAGTAATAATGTTTCTTTTTATTGATGAAACACTGAATCATGGAAGGAATTAACAAATTTATTTTAATTTAAAATTGTGAGACACAATATGGTATTAGTAATAACATGAAATCAATGATTTATAAACTTAAAATTGTTAAACATTTTATAGCTAAAATGATGTCTTTATTTTACTTTTCCTCAGATCTTATATGAAAATGCCAACAGCTGCACATATTTTACTTATAGTCTTCCATATCTGTTTCGGTGCCGATCTCATGTACAATGTGGAAGAAGAACAGAGTCCAGGTACATACATTGGCAATATTGCCAGTGATTCAAATGTCATGGATAATATTCCTCTGAAAGATCATAAACACATCACCTTCACACAACACAAAAAAGGAAGCTCTCAGTTATTCCGTGTTGCAAAGAATACAGGAAAACTCTACACTGCGCAAATATTGGATGCTGAGTCTTTGTGTACTTACAATGTAGAATGTTTCAAAATGATTGATGTTGCTGTAAGGAAAGCCAAGTCTTTTATAAAACTATTAGAAATTAAAGTGATTATAAAAGATGTTAATGATCACCAGCCAGAATTTCCAGACAAGCAAGTAAACATTGAATTTTATGAAGGTGATGGGACAGGAATGAGAAAATCAATACCCAGTGCTAGAGATAAAGATCTTAGTATTGTTAATTCTCAAATTACTTATGAGTTAATAAATAATGATGAAGAAAATCATTTTACATTATCAGTAACTAAAAACTTTGCTGGCAAATCAGATTTAAGTATTGTATTAGATAAAAGACTTGACAGAGAAGTCAAAGATACTTACTTGATTCAAGTAGTTGCAAAAGATGGAGGCTCCCCATCCAAACAAAGTATCTTAGATGTTCATATATCAGTAAGTGATATCAATGATAATGCACCTTCATTTGCACATAATATCTATAATGTTTCTGTCTCTCAGGATCATGATAAAACACTTCCTATTTTTACATTATTTGCAACAGATTTAGATTTTGGTCAAAATGGCAACATTTCATATACAATTGATACTAAGACATCAATATTAGCTAAAAGATACTTTAAAGTCAACCATTACTCAGGAGAAATATTTTTAAAGAACAAAATACCATCAGGACAAAAGCTTATGCACAATTTATACATTGAAGCTAAAGATGGGGGAAAGCCTCCTCTAAGTTCATTAGCAATGGTTCAAGTAAATGTGATCAATCAACAAAATAATGCTCCAACAATTGATGTGAACTTTTTCTCACTATCATCTACAGAAAATTCTACAACCATTTCTGAAGACATTGAGGTGGGCAGTTTTATTGCCTATGTGAAAGTAACAGATCATGATACTGGCCAGAATGGAGAGGTTATATGTGATCTCCATCATGATAAGTTTAAATTGAAAAGTCAAGGCTTGAAAAAATACCAAGTGATTTTGAAAGATCCATTAGATAGAGAGACTGAGGAACATCATGACATCACAATCAGTTGTGAGGATATGGGATTCCCACCAAGACATAGCGAGAGTAAGTTTTCCATTAAAGTGATGGATGTCAATGATGTAAAACCAAAATTTTCTAAATCCAGATACAAATTCCATATCAATGAGAACCAGAAACCTCATATTGATGTGGGTTCAATCAATGCATCTGATCCAGACTTGGGACCTGGAGGGGAACTGATCTTTTCTTTTGCAACAAATAAGAAGAAAAGTCATCTGCCTTTTCTAATCACCAAAGATGGTTTTATTTCAACAAGTGAATCATTGGACCATGAATTACAAGATATTTATAAATTTGAGGTTTTGGTGAAAGATAATGGAATTCCATCACTGAATAATACAGTGGATGTGATTGTGGAGATTGAAGATGAAAATGATAACAGTCCATATTTTACATTTCCCAGTATTAATCCACATAATATAGAAGTTGTATATTTTGCTGGTGAAAGCAAGAACCTGACAGTTGTGAGGGCACATGATAGTGATAGTCAAGAGAATGCCTTTCTCAGATATGAAATAAATGCAGGCAATGAGAAACAGTTGTTCACCATTGACCATTACAGTGGTTTGTTGTCTTCTACTGGTGCCCTTACAAAACAAGATGCTGGCTCATATGAACTGGAGTTTGTTGTCAAGGATAGTGGCATCCCAGTTTTATCAGCCACAACTACAATCTTTTTGAGTCTGATTGTGAAAAATAAGACTTCTTCTTTGGAAAGAGTAAATGGTGTACAGAGAAGTCAATCAGAGGAGAAGGTGCATCTTAATATGGTGATTATTATTACATTAGCAGCCGTCATGGTGACTATCATCATTACGGCTTCAATCTCAATCTGTGTGCTTCGCTGTTGTAATGCTTCAAGTGGAGATGGAGATGATGTTCCTAATAGATATGTTAGTGAACAAAGACATTTGATGTCATCTTCTTATCGAGGGAGCTCTTGGCCAGATGTTCCTACTACTATGATACATGATCCCAACTTCGGTAGGAGTGCTGAGGAGATGGCAGCTAGCAGAAGGGAATCCTATCCCAGGTTCATGAACCAATCAACAGCAATAAGACCAAACTCAGCAGTTGATATCACCTGTCAGGTATGTCTTCCAATTATATTTACTACATGCACTCTTTACTAATTTATATCTTTAACTTTTATTACAAAATGTACATTAATATTCTTTTAATATTGTTCAGAATGCTACATACTTAATTTAATAAAGACTCATATTTATTTAAGCTGCTTGTGATTGATGTATGAGAATAAGGTACAGATTATGAATATAAATTACTCACTAAAAATATGTTTAATTGCTTTATTTAGATAATGGTATACATTAAGTTCAATGCATCATGAAATAGAATTCTGCGGCATATTTTTGCTATATTTTTCTCAAAGAAAGAATAAAAAAGAAATGTATTCATTTTAATAATGCTTCCATTAAAACAAAATCATAAAAGAATGTTCATACAATTCTGAAAACAAAATGAATTCATCTAGGAAGCTGTTATTAATTTCTTAACATTTTATCTTCTTGCAAAAGTTACTTAAATGTTTTTCTCCCTTGTTCTTTTGTTTTTCAATATCAAAATATTTAAATTTCATTGAATATAAGTTGAGTATATTGACATGAAATTTTAGTGTAAGTTTTGATATGAAGCTAAAAATTATTTTATATTACAATGTAGATGACACCAGATCTTCAGAATGGCAATAAAAACACATTAACAGCTCCTTATTGTCCAACATGGAGATCTACAATGTCTTCTCATGCTGACAGTGGACATGGTTGGAGTGAAGGAGACACAGGACATGCAGAAGAGATGACAGGTAAGAAGCTGAAAAAAAAAACTTGTTACAAAATCAGATATTCTATTTTTGTTTACAATGTAGGCACAACGACACATTAAAATATTATAAAGAAATGTTGATTTATTCTTTCAGATCAGCTAATTCCACAATTCTGCAAGCCACATGGTGGACAGGTCAACAAAATGGATAAGAGACACATAGAAGGAAACTTTAGCTACCCAAATGAATCAACAACAATTTCAGCAAGATGTTTTTCAAAAGCAACAAATAATCCCAACAATCTATTTAGAATGGAAACAGAACAAAAATCTCATCATTTATCAGATAGCATTCAAATTACTCACAATGCCAGACCACTGCCTCCAGTACCTCACAAATTACACTGATCATACACATTACATCAATGAATTACTTATATATATTCAGAACCTGTTTACTAATTTTTGAAGATGAATTATTATATAAGTAGCATTAAAACAAAACAAGAAAAAACTATTATAAATGAATTGCTTGCATTCTGGAATATTTTAAAGTAACATTTGCTTTAATGGAAATAAAACTTTAGGGAAACAATTTAAGAGTTTTATGTCAGTACAGTGATAATAATTGCTTAGCATTTTCTATATTTTACCATTTTAAATAAGGAAACAAATATCATTCAGATTGTAAGTATAAAATAATAAACTACAAATTTAAAATTTTTCAAACTGTTTATCACTGTCGAGTGAAATTCATACTGAAAATATAAAATTAAAAGTGCTTGGTATATTGCAAAAATTTCATAATTTTACAAGAATTAAATATTAGCATAAATAAAAAGAATATTTGAAAATATTTGTTTCCATGATGATATATACTTTTAACATTCAGAGAAGTTACGAAAATGTTTTTAGTGAATTAATGAAGATTACTTTCTAAATATGAAATATAAGCAAGTGAAATAATAAACACAATATTCAAAAATGTGAGAAGAAAACATCAATGCATTTAAATTAAAAAAATCATATCTCAACAAAATTAAATTATAAAATCTAGAAAATTGTTATAGCTATGTTATTTTCAGTTTTGTATAAAGAAAAAATATTTATAGGTTCATGGAAGAAAGGAAAAAAGAAAGTTTTACAATGGAGGAATAGGGTCCTTTACATATTGCATGATGGGAAAATTAGCCAATTAAGGCATTTATTTTGCCAGATCTCAGGATATAATTTTATCTTGATATAAAAATCATACCCATTACAATTTGAAACAAAAATGCAGAATTGCATTTAATTAATGTATTTTCTTTTAATTTTCTCGTTGGTATGAGAAGCAGCCATTACACACATCATACTTATTAGGAGAATAGGCAGTACACACACATACACACCTCATATGCACATAACAAGAGACTCTTTGTTTTGTGATACAAAAATCAGTGGAGAAAAGAGGATGTAAATGGGCTGTGATTCTTTTATTTGGAAAGATTACAAAAAAATAAGGTGAGTTGATATTTTAATTTAATTTTTATGAAGGATTTTTAGGGTCTAGAAATAAAAAGTGAAACCTTTGGAAGTGATTTCTTTCACAACTTCAAAGAGACTTTAAGGAGATGATGAAAAATAATCAAAATAAAAATCTTTGCTGATGGAATTTATTTTACAGAATTTGATGGAATTCTATTTTACATAAAAACATTACGTCTGTTTATACAGAAAAAAGTATTTCTAATATGTGTTGGTAGAATAAATATTGTGATTGAAATATATATGCATTGAACAAATTTAGTAGCCATTATGAAATTCCATCAATATTAAAATATATGGCATAAATGTATATGTTAAAATTTTTTGTATTTCCACATAATCTTGTAGATATGACTTTGGAATAAATTTGATTATCTGTATCTTAATTAAGCATCTATAAAATGCATGTTCAAATGGTTGTTGATGTGTGTTGAGTATGGAATATTGTTATACTTACTCATGTTATCATTGAATGTACAAGCTGAACAAATTTAGGATTTTTTCTGTTAAATATATTTTAATATTCTAATAATTATTCATTTTTAATATAATTTGTTTCAAATGATATAAGTCCAAACTAGGAAACTGTATAATAGCAATAAAGAAGTAAATTAACAGAGAATCAATTGTTGTAACTTCATTCAGTTATGTGCCAAACATGATACACCCTTAGGCGATCACATGTTTTTCCCACAGTAGGTTGTCATTTTTTTCTGTGGTAGACAAGGTGCCATCCAAGGTAATAGAACCTGGTCTGTCCTGCTTTTTACCCATAGCTGGGGTGAGAATACAAGGATTCATACCTTTCCCCAGGTTATTAGCATGTAAGTGAATGTAATGGATTTGACTGGAATTCAAACTCAGCTCTCCTATTCCCCAATCCAACCCACTATCCATTACTCCACCGTGCCTGCTATAACTTACTATAATTTTTTTTTTAATGTATTTTCATAAATCTAATCATGAAAGCAATTTATAAGCTCCTCTATGATATTCATAATTAAAAAGAAATTTTTTTTCATATTTACAATTCAGTCTATTACTATACTTCTGATATTTTCCTGAAAATATAGCCAAAATGTAGAAATTTTGTACATTTTTAAGTTTTGTTTTACATGATTAAAACTTAAGCCTATCTTTAAAAAATGAAATAAGCACACAATGTCAGATTTTATTAATATAAGTAATATACTACGTGGACTTTGGCTTTTAATATCTGTCATTATTAAAAATATTGATAATAAAATATTGTTTTGAGAAGATGTCATGATTTATAAAGCAAATAATTAGTCTGTAATATGAATTTTTATTTATAAAGAAAATCCAAAAGATATATATCAGTGAAACACATACCTGATTAACACAATAATCTACACACCTAAATAACTTACTATTTTATTAGTTTGAATTTTATTATTTTTATAGAGTACATTTATTGATTTGATAACTTTTCTGCTGTTTTAACTTTAACCTTATTTGCTGAAGTTTTTATTGTTTCTCAAAGATCTTTGCTTGAGCAATTAGGGACCATTCCATTAATTTATTGTTTTTAAATCCATCTTTATCAAGGTCGGCAATAATCATCTTTCCAGGAAGTGAACAAATATTGTCTTGCCAGAGTATTTACTTTAGCTTAAAGCTTTTTGATTCTGCCATGAATGACTCAAAAATACATTTTATTAATGATAATTCCAACAAAAATCCTCGAAAAGTTTTTATCAAGAACTTTCAAGAAAGTTCTGCATTTATCTTGATACCATCATCAAATTCAAAGAAATCTATAATTTTACTACCTAAAATATCACTCTACCCTCCCCACTATTATCTTCTCAGTCATGTTGATTGACATTTTCCATGAAGAACCCAACCACTGGTCCAAGCAGTGTAGGTCTATATTCATCATTTAAAATTACTGTGGAGAAATCTATTTTCGTGTACTTCTTTGCCTAACTTATATGTTTCTCTTTGTAGTGGTGGTTTGATTGTTTTCATGTCTTTAGCCAGTGTTGTTAATATTTTGCACCTTTTTTCTCTATTTACATTCTCAACACTGGCTTATTCCAACACTGTGTTCCTATCACTCAATAACTTTACAATATCTTGAATATCTTCTCTTTTGAAGCTATTTATTTCTTAAAACACATGCCAATCTTTACATATCCGAAATTCAGAAATTAATGTCTATAACTATGCAATATAACCACTGAGTTATATAATCAAACCACATATGAGTATATATTTAAATATATCTAATAAACATATTGTAATTTGAAATTCACATGATATATTTATTTATCCTGAAAATCTTTACCAACATCGATTAAATAAAATAATTCACAATTATGAATATGCTATGTTGCATACTAAAATCTGAAATAGTATAAAATATACAACTCGGATGAAAACAGGTTAAGAATTTATATAAGGGAAATAACTTTGTATAAATAAACTTTTATTCATGTTGCCATTGAGTTGGTATTGCAAAACAAAACTCGAGTATGAAAACAGATTGTATTAAATTTCTATTATTGGTATTAGAGCCATTGAACTACCATGAAGGAAATTCCTGTCAGCTATATTTAATGAGTTAATATAAAAAAATATAAGATTGATATTAATATATATATATATATATATATATATATATATATATATATATATATATATATTGTAATATAATGAAAATAGCAATGATTAAAAATTAAAATCTACATTTGATTTTTTTATTTAATTATTTCAAACAAGGTGATAATACCACTAGGATATAAGGGTTACAGGGAGTGAAAGAGAATAAGAAGACTTTAATGAGAAGTGAGGAAAAGGACAATAAACAAACAGGATTTAGGAAAACAGAAGATGGCGAATAACATTGCATTTAAATTTTTGGAGATTGTAGGGAAGCAAGAAATATGGACAGTAGTTCCACAGGTGAGAAGTGCAAGAAAAGAAACGGTTACAATAGAACAGATGGTTGAATCTAGCTAGTTCAACAGTAAAACCATGAGACCTAGTAGCACATTTAAATTCATGCAGTCAAGGCACTAAGGAGGAAAGCTCATTAGAACAATTACCATGAAAATATTTGTAGTAAAGACAGAATAAAGTCACATCATGACAGTGAGAAAGTGACTGAAGTTGAGATGACAGGTCAGGATCAATAAAATTACAGACCTTTCATTGAATTTTGTCAGTAATCTTGAGATATATAGTAAGAGCACCAGGTCAAATATAGCAGTAGTATTCTGTTATGTCTTCATTGCAGTGAATGAAGATAACACAATTAAGAAATAGAATGTTGCTTGACATCGTCTTGCTGAAATCAGTATTAAGCAGATATGATAGATTTCTAACTCTCTACTTTTTCTCTCCTTCTACTGACAGTTCTCAGTGTAAGTCTATATGTATTTGAACAAGTCTAAGTCCTATTCTGGAGAGGTGTGTTCATCTCCACAACATATTCAGCACATGGATGAATGGTAGATGTATAAATGTGCAAAATGGATTCTGATGAGAAAAATTGTCTGGCACAACACAGTGAACCAACTTTCCTAGCAGTAGATTTAAGAAGAGGGGGGGTGAATAATATATTTTTTATTGATGAATAATTGAGCAATGAAGTGAATTATCAAATTAAAATTAACCTAAAATTATTAAATGCTATATAACATTAGCCATAACATAAACTTAAAATATTGTTTAAAATGTATGTTTTACTTTCCTTTTCAACAGATCTTACAGAAAATGCCAGGACAAGTACATATTCTACTAATTGTCTTCCATACTTGTTTGGGTGCTGATCTTATCTACAATGTGGAAGAAGAACAGAGTCCAGGCACATTCATTGGCAATATTGCCAGAGATTCAAATGTCATGGAAAGTAT